AAATGAATTTAAAAAAATATTTAAAAAAAAATAAACTTCGGTTGCACTGACGATACAGTTATGTATGTGAAAAATAATATGGACAGTGATAGATTTTTCAGAGCAACCGGAATTTGCCTGCCATGAATTCTGAATAAGTTGCCTATAGCACTCCAGTGCTAGTTGGTCACTTTACAAAATTAAAAAATTATATCTACAACATAAATAACATAAAAAAAAATTTTTTTTTTTCTTAAAAAAATTCAAAAACCAGCCCACCAACCCTGTTTTTATTTGCAGCTATTTATAGAGATGCCCTGTGGCCTACTTTTTCCAACAAATCAAGCAAATGCCGTGCATTATATTAACATTAGCAGTTACATACCACTGTTACTGTCAAATGTCGCAATTTGAAAGAAAATTTGACTGCAACAAAATAGATAAGCAAAGTATGAGTTAGACAACTCATAAATTGATTATCTTAGCATATAGCAGAGAAAATTACGCAAAAATATGCTTCAGCGCCAGCTCAACAAGCGCCGACTTTTGTAATTTTGCATGGTACCGTTACATTGTTACTGGAATATGATTACGGCACAGGCTAATTAGCATTTTTTGCTTATTTTCAATATCTTGCAATTAGTTTTGCTGAGTAATTTCAACAATTTCCTTTTTTATGGTTAACCACCTACACTTTAGCACAACTTGTGTGTAACTGCAACGCAGTGGCGGCTACGAAACGGCGTACTAACTTCACGCGCTCGTATTTTTTTAACAAAAATGTCTGCATAGATTTTTTTTAAACGTTCACAAAACACTTTTGCAACTGCTTTCAATTTAGTTTGCAGTATCTTTTCGAAAATACCTGATTAGCACTAAAATGATACGCCATTACACGTTAACAGTGTGCGCCACAAGGGTTGTTAACGAAAAATTAAAATAATTTCTTAACTAAAACTTTTATTTCCTCGTCTGCGCTTCAGAATTTTTTATTGAATAATATTTGTTTACTGTCAAAATGTTAAATTTTTTTTATATTAGTTTTTTTTTACGTTTACGCCTTCGCTTTGCCTAGAGTTGCTGACAAATTGCTTCACATTTAGAGGATTTTGTTTGTACGCCGACAAATTTTCACTTTAAAATGTATAGAAAAAGGAAAAACAACATACAAAATACCAGGACAACGTAAAATAATCAAAGTTATTGCACAAAGTGTGGGCAAATATTTAAGGTTGCCAGGAACCTGCTTGTTTACGCATGTTTGCTGGAATGTTTCCGAAATACTTTCTACATAACCTAAGTAAGGCAGTTTTGCTTGCAATGGCAGTTAATGAGTTGAAAACCAAAATGTAATAAAAAAAAAAATTTATTTTAAATTTTAAAATGAAGCTCCTCAACAC